CACTTCCAGGTTTCTCTTACCCTTCTCTCTCTCTCTCTCTCTCTCTCTCTCTCTCTCTCTCTCTTTCTCTCTGTCTCTCTCTGCCTCTCTCTGTCTGTCTGTCTCTATCTGTCTTCATTTATCTGTCTGTGTGTTAGCATGTGTGCTAGTGAGTAAGTAGTATGCTTTTGTATGCGTCTGTGTGTCTGTATATGCGTGACGTGGGAGAAGAGCTGGAGAGAGAGAGAGAGAGAGAGAGAGAGAGAGAGAGAGAGAGAGAGAGAGAGAGAGAGAGAGAGAGAGGGGGGGATAGTGTTAAGTGGGTTTTGCCATGGAGTCCTCCATTTACAGGGTGATGCCTGTACAACTTTTTTAGGTTAATATTTTCCTCCACTCTGAAGTTTTGAGTTTCAAATTTGTACATACCGTTTGGAAATCAAAAGGAATTTTTCTGATATTAATTTTAGATAAATCCACGGAAAAGTTTTGCTCTACATAGCGCATAAAAAACAATCCATTTTCAGGTAGTTCGCTTAAGGCTTACCACTTAAAATCCAAACGGTTGCGGCATATTGCAAGCTACAGTACAATGTAGTTTAACAGGCCAACAGAAGTTTGCAGACACGAAGTAGTTTTTCTTAAGTTTTCTTTGCCTTTTGAGACCATGGTTAAGATTAGTAAAGAGCAAAGAGCTTTTTGTATTGAACATTTCCTCACCATCAACTCATTTCGCAAGTTTCGCACAAGGTACGGAAATAATGTTAAAGTGCCCCTTAAGGTCTTCTTTGATGTCACAACGTGGTCTATGAGTTAGGACCTGTAGAGAATCAGAACTACAATTTCATAGACAAAACGACCACTTCCGCGCAAACACACACCGTTCACACCCCTTAAAACGTCACCAGGGTGCAGAATTCAGCCCCATGAGATGTCTGTCCGTAGACGATGCCTGCAGCAATGACTTTCCTACATCTCAACGGATTGCATTCTTAAAGCTGATCTTCATCGACGACTGTACATTTATTTTTCCTGTTCGTGAAGCTATCAGAGGATAGCAATGTCTTCATGATTCCTCGATCGACTTGAAAAGCGTGAACATTTCCTCTATGACATTTGGTTCCCTGGCAAAGCCCATATTCACCTTTCAGGTTATATCAATTCTCCAAAATGTGTCTATTTGGGCAACCTCATCCCCCCCCCCTTATTGTCTCTAGAAATAGCTCCATACTGTAAGTGTAAGGTGTACTGTGTGTGTGTGGCTTTGAGTACTCATGGTTCGGTGAATCCTTGTGTTTGGTCACCACTGAACATTCTGAACGACGCCTTAAAATGTATCGAGTCCAAAAGAGGACATATATATATATATTATATATAAAATACACATATATATACATGTGTAAAAAAATATATATGTCGCTGGTGGAGTGATGAAACCTCGTAACCCCAGAAAGGAAAATTTTTACAGGAGAGACAAAAAACTGATTTACTCTTGAATAAAATGACCTATATGAACCAAAGTTGGTACAGATAAATGAAAACACATTAGAAACATGGTTAGTAATAATTTAGCATCTGACTTACAGCTGCCTGGTGAAACGTCAGTATGGTTTGGGGTATGATTCCAGGCGACACTATTGTTGGTGCAGACTC